GTTCACGGCCACGGCCGTCACCAGCAGGTTCTGCGCGGCAATAAACTCGGCCAGGCTGAACCCGTAGACGGCGCAGAGCAGCGGCGGCCGCACATGGTCGCCGGTGGCCGCGTACTGCGCGTGGTCCAGCGAGTGCGATACGTTGAAGAGCAGGTCGCAGAGCGCCAGGTAGACGACCATCCGGTCGCCGGGCGACCAGTCGGCGAATCGGCCGCGGTTGGCGCGCCACGACCAGCCGATAGTGGCCAGCGCGCACAACAGACTGCACGTGATGCAGCTCAGCGCCGCCGCGTGGATGTAGGGGAACGCGCCGCTGTCCAGGCCGTACACGGGCAGGTCGTACCCAGAGCGGGCGGCCGTCATAGCTCCCCGCCGGCCTCTGGTGGAGTGACTGTGGCCCGCCGCTGCTCCCGCCGCCGCCCGCGGTCGGCTCAGCTGCCTCCAGCGTCAACAGGCGGAGAGGTGTGCTGCGCAGCGGCCGGCGGCCGTCGTTATAGCAGCTCGGCCAGCCTCCGGGAAACCACCGGCGCATTCCGATTGAACTGGGCCGGCCGCCGCCTCCGACGGGTGCGGGCTTCCGTTTTCATCACGGCAGCAATCGGATATGCTTGATTAGGGTTGACTATTGGTGTTGGTTCTCACTTCACACATTGTTAGATGGGCGCGTCATCGCCATATAGCCGAATGAGGTGTACACCGAACCGTAATGTACTTAAAATAGGCATAGCGGAATGTAGCGATGCCTCTCCCCTCTCTTTTCGCTTTAACCCGCGCCCCACTGGGGTCTGTGTATAACACGCCCTACTGGGGGGGGGGGGGGGGGGCTATTCATAGCCCCCCTCCTAACTCCGAAACTACTGGGCCGATCGTCAAAATTCAAACGGTGTCTGATAGCCCCGGAAAAACTGTCGAGCGAAACCTAATTTCATTGACCTCGAGGTCACCGATGACGTCACAGGTCAGGTCAAAGTAAAAATTATTAGCATTTTGGCTTGTTCACATTTTGGGCTCTGGCCGCCGACTTACAAGTCAGATCAGGCTCATTTTTGGTTTACACACTCGTGAACAGATGCTCTAGATACTTTGAGGGTACCAAACTTGTACTTTGATTATCAGGTCAGGGTCAGGTCATCACAGGTCACGAAAATATTATATCATCCGTCGGTCACGTGACACATATTTTATGGTCCATTTAGGCCATAGATTTCGAATTTGATGTCGTCTGTGTCATTCGAGGTCATTTGGAGTCGAATTTAGCTTAGGTCAGGTCACTTTCAGGTCAAAAAAGGTCAAATTTTGAAGTTTACATTTTTCAACAAAAAAGGTGTCTATGGGATGCAGTTTGAGCTCAGGAACACGATGGTGCCATTTATATTGGTGTACGATGTCAAATACGTACTGAAAAATTGATTTGAAAAATTAATAATTGTGAATTTTTTGCAATAATGCGTATAACTTGGCCATTTTTGAAGATATTTAGCTAAAACTTGCTAGAGTTAGTCAAAATCATGCGTTCTGTCACATATATTCCGGTTTTTTCGAAAAGTCAAAAACTTTTTGAAAAAAATATAAAAATATAAATTTTGATTATTATTATATAAAATTTTCGAAATTTTCATAATTTTGAAAATCCGAGATAGCAGTTTGATAGCGCGGTCAATTCTGAGTCCTTTCATGCAAAGAAATTGGATCTAGCTTAAAAACTGAGCTCTTGGGAGCGATTGCCGTGGTTCAATGTTTTGCGTCGAAATCGGACGAACATGACGTCACTCTGACGTCATTTCCGGCCGACCTATGGTAGCTACGAAGTTCAAATTTTGACACAAGGTGTCAAATTGATGCAGCCAAAGGTACTGAAAGTTTGGCATCGATCCGTCAAGCGGTTTGGAAGTTATTGCAGAAAAACGGGAGGGGGGGCTATAAATAGCCCCCCCCAGTGGGGCGCGGGTTAACTACCAGTATAACGCCTTTTGGGGCGACTAACGGAGCGAGCGAGAGGGTGGGCCTTGCACGTGCGAAATTGCGAGGGTGTACCTCCAACTGACTTGTGCACGGCACCCTACTAACCGGTCTCTAGTGATGTGCCAAATTTGGGCACAATCGGCCCAGCCGTTTTCGAGATCTGGAAGCGGCACCCTGCACGTGCGCACGTGCAAAATGGGTCCCAACTGACTTGTGCACGGCACCCTACTAACCGGTCCCCAGCTGTGTACCAAATTTGAGCGCAATCGGTCGAGCCGTTCTCAAGATCTGGGAAACGACCCCTGCATGTGCGCACGTGCAGCAGCACCCCAACTCTGGCACATGGATATGCAGTGCCTAGTGGGTGCCTACCTACATGCCAACTTTCAGCGCAATCGGCCCAGTAGTTACCGAAATATTGCAACAATTACAAAACTGACACCTCTTCGTTTTGCACGTGGCACGTGCATAAGGGGTCACCCAAATGCATCGGGAATAGTCCAATACTTGGTAGAAGGAATGAAGCTACCCTACAAAAATTACCGCATGTAAATCGGTCAAGTGGTTGCTGAGATATAAGCCTCGCAAAAGCGTCCGCACGGCCGGCCGGCCGGCCGGCCGGCCGCTCATACTCAGAAATTTCTGTTAATCTAAGGAAAGACTACGCTCGCTTCGCTCGCTCCGTAATCATCCCGTATCGTTGAATCAATTTGACTTCCTTTCTTGCAGGGTTGTGCTCGACTCAAAAAAATTTGCCGACTCGACTCATTATTCAACTTCAGAAAGCCCTGACTCAACTCTGACTCAAACAAGAAGCTGATTTTTCCCCTTGACTCGACTCATGACTCAAGCGGCTCAATGAAAATATGAGTCGACTCAAACTTGACTCAATTTTTTACTGAGTCAAGTGAGTTGACTCAAAATTGACTCAGATAAAAAAGTTGTTGAGCGGGGGTGGAGGTGAAAAAAAAAATCCGGCAGCAGGGCCAGGGCGAAGCTGTTAAGCGGGGGGGGGGGATGAAAAGCTTGTTTCTAGAAAGTTGAGCCAGCTGACTCATGTTCCTAATTGTTTGACTCAACTTAATGTCAAAAGTTATTTTACTGACTCAACTCTGACTCAACTCAATGCCTCATTATTTTTGTGCGACTCAACTCTGACTCAACTCAACAGCTCAAAATTTTATCCGACTCGACTCAAATCTGACTCATTTGAGTCAGAGTTGAGTCAAATTTCTGACTCGACTCATGAGTCAAGCACAACCCTGCTTTCTTGTATGGATAAAAATGAAATGTTCCATTTCCATTTAAATGGAGCCATTTAAAATTGGCTTCTCCATTTAAAGGAACGGACTGGCTCGATAATGATCGGAATGTGTATTACATATGTCAAATAATTTATTTAACTGTCCAATGTCAACGGCATGCTAATCTTGTCTTTTTTCCTTCTTTGATCTACAAACTCAGACTGATCTTCTTTACTTGTTTTTCATAGATCTGTTTTACGGGCAATGAAAATGGCCTTTTTGTTTTAGACATGATTTCTTTTAATTTGTCATCGCCAAATTGAGCAGGGGAAGCCAACGGCAAGAATTGATGAGCTTTTTTCATCTTCTCCTCATGCGACCGTTTAAATTTTTCGTTATGGAGATTATGCGATAATGAGGCGTAAAGGAATTCCTCCAAAGTAATGATTTTCGGCTAAGGGCTTATCAGTCAAGCGTGGGCAAATATGACGAGTTTTTTATCAGCGCGTATGATTTTATCCGTTACATGTGTGAAACATGGGAGAGCAGTATTGGAACCAATATTGACATCAGCATTTAAGTGTTCATTTGAACCTAGTTGCCCTTGGCTAGAGTGGTTTAGAATTACCCTGAATCAATGTGAGTCACGTGTTGGTGTAATCATTGTTCGGTAGGTAATACCTACCTACAAAATGTGAAGCTTTTCAACACTTATACTTGGCTAGTGGCTTATCTGACTATTATCACTTTATTTGCTGAGTCATGCTGCAAAGAATCGTGACCGGCAATGATATCTGGTATTTATTAAATGTGGAAACTCAGCCTAGTAAACTGGTTACTTATTCCGGCATCCAAACCATCTGACTCATGTCATAATCGCACGTGCGCTGAGCTCTCGTGACTCCACGGGGACGGTCGGTGTTACCCAGTGATGTCTCGTAACCTCTGCCGTCCATCGAACCGGCCGTGACGGGAGCTCCGTGACGGCCGCCTCGGCACGGCCGGCGCGTGTCACGGTACGCCGTGACTCACACCGCGACTCGACGTGACTCGTAGACCGGCTGTCTGCGCTCCCGGGCCACTCACGGACGCGTCCCTGGGGGAGGGAGGGTGGCAGTTGTAGTAGTAACCTTGGAACGCGCGGCACCGGCGGTCATCTTCTCTCGTACAGCGAAGGTGGCGTATGAATGAGACGTGTTTTGTGAGAGCATTGCTCTTCAGTAGAAATTTCTTAAAGCCAGTGCTTCTCGGGTTACACCCTCCTTGACTGGACGCCTTTTATCACATTTCACAGCTAATGACTCATGGTCCGTTCACTCTGGCTATTCGTCAGTTGGCGTGTTTGTCTTTAGGTTACCGTGTGCAAACACTGCACCCGTTCAGGGGCCCGCCTAACCGTCTCTCCCTGCCGGCAGTGGGAGTGATCGGGAGAAGGGAGAACTTTGCATGGAAGACCCACCGTCAAACGTGCCGACATTCCGCCGAATTCCCAGGAAGGTTTTTTTTTTCGTCCCACCACCGTATTCTATCTCACAGTCTCGCCGCTGCATCATCAGTAACTGCGACCCAACTCATTTTCGCCATCTTCCAGCTTTCGCCCCTTCCAGCTCCACACTTGTCACCGCCAAACGTTGTACCCAATTCTACTCTCTGTCCACCAACGTCTTGCTCGAACATCGCGTCTTTACCATTTGTGTACAGGGCACTGTGCTAGAACTAGCAGCCGCCGGGAGGCCCGCGCCTGTCCTGTCACTGCCGTCTCGCCCTAACACCCAATCCTCCTCGTTCCCCCAGGGCGCTGTACCAGAACTACCAGTCGGCGGGAGGCGGCGCGGCGACCTCCCCCTCCGACCGGCGACCCTCGCGACAAAACTCCACCGGCGCCACGGACGGCACCAAGCAGCAGCAGGACCTCGTCAAGACTGCCAACCTGCTGTTCGGAGCGCTCGAACCGCACTACGTCTGGGAATACATGAAGGTCAGTAGTCAGAAGGTCATGAAGGTCATGGAGGGTCATTGCCAATGGCAAAGTCAGTGGCAGGTCCCGATACCTATGCCAATTTAGATCAAGGTTGATCCGTTGGTCAAATTTTATTATTTCTTGTTCACCGCTTACATCTTTCAGCTCTGTATCATTTTATTGTTCAGTTGTGCATTCTCTAGAATCTTCGATTTTCTACTACGATGAACTCTGCGTCTGATATTGAAACTGAGAACTGCGCTTTATCGTTATATTTGGGTTGGAGGCGTGACTTCACCATAAATCTTCCACACCTTGGTGCTACCTCTGCTAGTGCGACTTAATGGGACGTGACCATCAAAGCGTCATTAGGTTAGCTGAGCGTAACTACTGCGGGTGCTTTGTTGACGAGGCTGCGGTCGGTGGTCACCCTTTGACGCCCTTTTTATCGCCGAGCGGCGGTCGGCGGCAGCAAAGGTGGCACAGAACCGCAGCCAGCGTTGATCGGGGGGCTGGGGAGTAGCGCCGCTCATAGTCGCCACCAAGACCGGTCTCTGCGTGTTGACACTACGTCCTGTGGTAGCGCTCATTCTGCATTCAGCAGCGTCTCACAGCCGGCGGCTGTGTTGTGATGTCATGGATGGTCGCTCTCCTGGCGTCCAAAGAGGCGAGCTGGGGCGCCGCAATTACAGTTCCGGCGAGAGGTGGTAGGCGTGCCGGGGCCGGGCGGCGCCCTGTCGGTTCCGGGGATTGATTGGGCACACAGGTTGAGAGAACGCTCCTCTGGCCCGCGCCTCGTTTCAGCCCCGTAGGGTGTCCTCGCCTCCATTACCTCACGACGGTGCAATTATGTCAATAGCACCGCCAAATGCTGTGCGGTGGGTAGATTCTTGAAGTAGTTAGAGCCCACGCCCTCGGCTGGTCAGTTTCGATGAACAAAGCTTCGAGTTTGATTTTCGTCATGCTACTGGCGGCCGGAAACAACATACCTTCACCCCACCCTCTTTGTGAAACCGGGACAGGCTGGGCTAATGAAACAGAGGCTTCTCCCCGAGACTCCTTACGGTTCATCGATCGCTATTAGCACCGACTGACTTTACATGAACATCAGTAAGCTCGATGCCAGAAAAGTAACTCCAGTGAAAAGTTCGCAACTCAATTCGATAGTTGTGCGGCCTGTAGACAGCAGCAGGTGATGGTTGTACCGCGGACGTACCCTCACTGAATTCGTCTCTCCCCACAGGTGAAGTACGGAGAGGCGTGTCGCCGCGTGGTGTCGGCCTGCGACCCGTCGGGGCCGGCGGCCGACCCGGAGCCACACGCAGCCGTGCAGCCGGTCGGCGGTGGCGACCCGGACGTGGCCGAGTGCTGCGCGCTCATCGTCTTCCTGCTGGACGTGATCTCGACCGAGACGAGTGTTGAGGTGCAGACGGAGCACCTTCCCGACCTGGTGTGCGGCGTGCTGCAGAGTCTGGGCGTCACGCTCACAGAGGGCGTCGGCCGGCTGCGGCCCGCCGACCTGTGCTGCTCGCTCGACATCTGCCGCACCGTGCTGAACAAGGCGCAGCCGGGCACGCGGCGCTCGCGCAGCCCGCCGGCCGCGCCGCCGGCGCCGCCGCCCGGCTCGGTACGCGACGCCAGCCGACTGTTCGCGGCGCTGTTCGCCAGTCTGGTGGAGGCGCGGCTGCTGGCGCACGGTGTCCATGTAGCCGACAGCTGCCGGCGGCTGGCGCTGGGCGGCCGCTCCAGGGCCGAGGAGCGGGACGCCGGCCTGCGGCAGCTGCTGCTACAGCGGGTGGAGGCCAGCGGCGGGCCGGGCCGGCCGGCGCCGCAGCCGCCTCCCGCCGCCTCCAGACAGGTGCGTATAGCGGGGCTAGACTGGGGAGCGAAGAGCTAGGGAAATGTATCCCACTGGTCACCTAAATGTACACTTACTGCTTGATGTGTTTTCTGGAATTGGAAAATGTGACACATTTGCCGATTAGCTCACAGATATTCCTTATTTTACCATCATAACAGATTCCAAGCGTGCTGTTAGGCATGTGCTTGGAGGATTATATCCGTAACACGTCCGAAATGCACTAAGCTCGTAATATCACTGTTGGACGAACCCCCCTCCCCTACAGGAGCAGGTGGAAGCGGCGCTGCGTGTCGCCGAGGCGCACCATGTCCCGCTCTCGCCGGAGGCCGGACAGTACGCCGAGGCGTTCCGCAGCGCGTGCCAGCTGCTGGTGGTACTCTCCTCGTTCCCCGCCACCGAGGACCGGGAGGAGTCACCGCCGCCGTCAGGTAGGTGTCAAATACCGAAACCGACATCGTTACCGACACCGTGAAGTCACACCGTGTCACACCGTGAAGAAGACACTTGTCTCGTAAAACGGTAGGGGATGTTTGAGACTGAAACGTAGTAAGCTGCGTGGTCTGCGTAGTTGTATTGAGCCGGTTGGCACCAGGCGAGAGAGGATCCTATGATACCCCACCTTCCCGGGTGTTGTTACCAGACTGCTGCGGTACGTCAAACTTTCGCCCTAGATTTACACGTCGACGCGCCCGTAAACCCCAATGAACGAACGAACGAATTACACGTATACTGGTTAACCGGACGCAGACGACTCGGTTTTCTCCATTCCTCTTCCACTGACACTATCTTCTTCTTCACCAGCTGGACCTGGCGCGCTGGACCTGCCTCCGTTGTTGTCTGCTGCTCCCCGCTGACCCTCCCCTCCCCTCCACCAGCGGTTCCTGGCGCGCTGGACCTGCCTCCGTGGCTGTCTGCGCTGCTAACAGTGGCGTGTTTCGCGCCACTGACGGCCGGCGGGCCGACCGGACTCCCGTTCTCTGCTGTCTCCACTCTCCTGGACCTGGTGGCTCTGGTGACCTCGGTGGGCGCGGCGGGCAGTCAGCGGGCGGCCGTTCAGCCGCTGCTGACGCCCGACCAGCACCGCGCCATCGTGGACGACACGGTGGTCACTCAGGTCAGTGGTGGGAAGGGCGGTGTGCAGGGCGGACTGCACTCCTAACGGAGCGGATTTGTGTTTCGGGCTAGAGTTTGTGTATGTTGTTAGGTCAGATTAGGGCGAAGAGTGATGTGAAACTAGTGTGGGTGCTGTTAACCAGGCTGGTATGTGGACTATATGTCAAATGTATTGTTATGGAACCGGATGGCATGAACGCTAATTTATCTTCACTTTTGTAGCACTTTCTCTCCTATCAGCTGGTGACCTGACCCTGTGTGCTCCCTGATCCTCAGCTGCTGACGCGGCGCCTGTGGCGGCTGCTGTCGCCGGAGCGGGCGGCCCTCCACCTGCCCTGCGTGGACCTGCTGCAGCTGATGCTGAGCCTGATGCCGCCGCAGCTGGTGGAGAACCAGCTGGCGGCGGACATGACGCACCCCGACCTGGCCGTCAGGTGAGCTCCCGGTGGAGACGACGCGTCGGCCCCGTCGCGACGGGGCCGGGGATGTGTACTGAAGGGACAGGGTTTAATAGGGTGTGGCTAGACTAATGGAAAATATTTGTTCAGCTGTATCCCGATCGGTAGCCACATCTGCAGTGGAGCGTAACGCCAAATGTTTGGGCCATGGGCGACACTTTTTTGGATTGTTGTGGCATAGACCTTAAAGTTATATGTGCGTATTCGCCGTGCTAGGCGTTGCACTGAGTAATGACTGTATTAATCACGATGGTTGTAAGTGTAACACTATCATCCCTCTATGCTGCGCAGGACGGAGGCGTTCAGCCGGTTCGCCGTGTTGTGGCACTTGAGTCGCGAGGTCTCGGCGCGCCGCCACATCAGCCGCTCGTTCGACCGGTGTTTACTCCTGATGCTCGACTGTCTGCGCGACCCCAGCGGACCGCTACACGCCGTGGCCCGCACCTGGCTGACGCACACACTGCAGCGGGGTGACGTTACCAGGTGCGTGAGGATAATCAGGTCGACTGGTTGGAGTCAGTGGAGAGGGGGTTATTGACTGTCCGGGTTGTGACGGAGGCGCGTCTGTCGATGGCGTTACTTTCGATGTGTTGGACATGAAGACACATTTTCAAACCCTTGTTAGGAAAGACATTTGGGTGGAAGCATTCCTGTCGTGTGCTTGTGTCAGCCATGGGATACTAGGTCTGGGGGGGGGGGGGAACACTCCTTCTAATAGGTAGTTAGTGAATGCGTGAACGTACACTGCGGCACGAAGCTTTCCCCGCGACCCTGTCGGTCGTGTGACTCCGCTCTCATTTCATCAGGATCATGGAGCCGCTACTGCTACTCCTGCTGACACCGAGCACGGCGCGGGTCAGCGTACAGCACATCAACGTGCGCGCCACCGAATCTGACGCCAAAGAGAGCGACGAGCTGGGACGGGTGTACGCCATCAGCTCTGTGGAAGGTACGGAACTGAGACGGCAGTGGGACGGGCTAGCTGTGAGCCTGTGACAGCTGGGATGGGTGCGACGAGCTGGGACGGGTGTACGCCATCAGCGCTGTGGAAGGTATGTGCCAGTCTGGTGGACTGGGTGGCTGTGACAGCTGAGCTGGGTGGGACGAGCTGGGACGGGTGTACGCCATCAGCTCTGTGGAAGGTACGGGCAGGGACTGGTGATGGACGGGTCAAGTGTAATCTGTATGTCAGTTGGGCTGGGTGCGACGAGCTGGGTCGGGTTTACGCTATCAGCTTTGTGGAAGGTACGGAACCGAGCCGGTTGGGACAGGTGGCAAGGACTGGACAGGATGGATGGGTGGAATGAGCATAACAGCCTGCCTAGCACTGGGACGTGCGGGTCAGGTGGGATGGGCTGCACTGTAGTGTGAGAAGCTTCGTGCCCGCTTCCATATCGCTCTCGTTAGTTTCACTGCATGGCCATCGATCCATACATTGGTCGGCTTCACATTCAAGTAGCCGCCGTGCCGTCATTGTTTCCTGTTTGCATAACAACCTGCTGCCCTGCTGTTTACCGTTGCCACCGTAGGCGATGGGCGATGGGCGTTGGTGTGTGCTTTGTGGTCAAGTGGTCTTGGTTTTACACCACGGTCAGAATGCAGTGCTAATTCAATGTGCTGTTGACATCCCGTTATGTCATGGCTGTGTACTCGGGTTGTTTAATTTAACAGCCTTTTGCACAGAAGTTGAAACTTGAAAGAGCAAGTAACTTGCGGTAATACTGAGGTCATGGAATTCAAAAGGTATAACCCAAAGTAGGTACCTATATAATCCGTCCCATGCACAAATGAGTATGCGCTCATCACTCGACACCCATAGCCCCCGATAATCCCGCCCCGTCTCCCGCCGCGTCGCTCCCGTCTCACCCACCTCTCATCTACCGCTGTGTGCGGACAGGTAACGTCATCTACCACGTGTCGGAGGAGGCTGGCGCGCCGGCGGCGGCCGCGCGCCGCGCCTCGGCCGCCCGGAAGCTGATGACTCTGACGTCGGTAGCCGGTCCGGGTGGGGCGCCGCAGACCCGCGCCGGCACTGTCCGTCTGCCGGGGCCGCACCAGCTCAGCTCGGCGCTGCTGCAGCCCATCTCTGTGTTCGTCAACCCCATCACTGGTGAGACGCTCCGTCCCAGCTGCTCCCCCGGTTATTGACGGAGAGTCCAGGTAGAGTCGAGACAGTGTCCAGTATTCACCAATCTTAAATCTTTTAGATCCATTGGATCGTTTAAGTTTATCAAACCTTTGTATTGCTTTTCTTGCACAAACTTCTCGCTCTATTAACTTGCTTAGTCAACGCTGGCATTTTGTATTTTTATGCTAAGCTTATTTTTCTTATCAGTCATGATCTGAGTAATTTATCTATTCAACACATACCTATACTCGTATGAGATATGTATGTATATCTGCACGCAGTGGGCGCCGTGGACGCGGATGAGTCGGACGCCGACCCTCCGGTCTCTCTCGGCGCGCGTCGCCTGGACCTGTCCGGTGTGCGCCGGTTCAGTCCCGACCAGCCGGCGGCGGGCCGAACAGCAACAGACGGCGCCGAGAGGGCCGGCTCGCAGACTCCGTTCGACGGCCTGTCGCGGCTGTTTGACGGCGCGGAGGAGAGCGTCTCACTGGCCACCAGCATAGTTAATGAGGTAAGGCGCTGAGGGAACGACAAATGAGCATGACACTGGCCACCAGTATCATCAGCGTGGTGGGCGGTGGACGGGAAGAAGACAGATGGAGTGTTAGGTTAGGGATAGAGTGATGGCAATGGGAAGGACAGTTTGTCTGGTTGGATAGCTAGCAGGGATGAAGGGAACGACGAGGGTTCACGTCTTACTGCAAGTACTGGTTATTTTACAAATGTTTTGTCATTGCTGTGCCGCTTCGCACCGTTGATGGGACAAATCCCCTGTGCTAGGGGAGAGTGGGGTAATTTGGCCGGTGGTGTAAATTGGCCGCCCCCACCTGTACGATGTCTGATAAAAGTGAATGAAATAACTCTAGTCTCTATTCCTTTGTCATGGGTAAAAATAACTGGAGGACAAATGTCAAAACTTTGCCCCTCGTAGTTTTATTCAAAATTAATAAAACGTTAATTTCATTAGAAAATGGCAACTTTTACTTCTGTTTAGAAAGTTGTATAACATGTAGTGTTTGGGCTAAAAACGAATTCAGACATTATAGCGCCATTCTTGGGGGTGTTCAGCGGTTCCAAGAGCAATTTTATCTAATTCCGTATAGCCGTGATGACTTTATAGACAAAAATTTTCAGAATGGCAATATGGGGTAATTTGGCCGGGACTAGCGGGGCAACTTGGCCGGTGCGCTCATGGTCACTATGCTGGGACGGCCGAGTTTTCATGGTCAATTGTACCTTAAATGACATGATTCATGACCAACTTTGACTACTTCGATGCCTTACTTTCGATTGGTCAGCTGTAAGAGCATGTGACGTCATCAAAGGTTACCAAACGTTTTTTGCTAATAAATCCTTACATAAAAATGGTACAGCCGCACAAATGGTCTCATTCTGTTCAGCTCGCCAAGGCGCATCGAATGATATGCATGATGACCTTGAAATCACGTAACCTTGAGGTCAAGCGACCTGATGCAACGTGACCTGAGGTCAACCTTTGACCTTGACTTTTCAAGGTCAACACATATATCTTTCGATGCGGACTGACGAGAGAATTACGATGGTACTCGAAGTTTTAGCCTAGCTTGATTACTTCAAAAGTTATTCGTAAAAAAAACTGTGATCGCATCTAGAGCCGCTAATTTGGCTATTTTGACCCCTGTGACCCCTGAGTCAACCTCCAAAATGCGGCAAATGCGTCATAGGACACACGTCATTGCTGAATCTGAAGCTGACTCGCAATATAACAGAAAATCCCGACCGCAAACTAGCACCGGCCAAATTGCCCCACACCCCCGGCCAAATAACTCTGCTAGTGGGGCAATTTGGCCGCCTTGCAGACCTTTGTAATACGTCACAATTACAATATAAGTAATTACTCTATCATTTCAAGTTCACTGTCCAGTAAAGTAAAATGAATGCGACACCTGCCAGCGTTGAGAAAATGCAGAAATGTGTCGTCAATTTTAAGTTATATCGTTTTCTAAAAAAAGCGGCCAAATTACCCCACTCTCTCCTACTTTGTTTTCAGATCGTTGATTTGGCTCTCGACAAATGTAATCTCAAAGAATCAAAATGGGTCGACAAGAAGGAACCTGAACAGAGCCAAGAGAAGCTGATCCATCCGCTACATAGCTTTATGCTGCTCTACTGCCAGGTGAGCTTTATTGATTAATCCCACTGCAGTGTTTCATCCGATAACTTTATTTTAGCCTTTAATCTTTACACTGATCATTCAATGTCCAATCATGGCGCAGTTTATCACGGTCTGCTTATTGTATCCGTCCATATCTGTAGGTATATCTGTTTGTTCTGCAGGTGTGCGACTCTGGCCGGATCCTGTACGCGCTGCAGACGCTCCGCGCTGTGTTGGAGACCGACTGCCGTCTGACCCTGTGCAGTATGGCCACCACCAGCGTCTGTTCCACCTCCGGACAGTCGCCGGGAAACCGGAGTCAACAGGTCAGTCACTGGGAAACCGAAGTCAACAGGTCAGTCACCCACGTCCTACCGCCGGCTTGCAAGACCAAGATTCTTAGGCAGGACGCCGGTATCCGTCTGATCATCTCTCGCTCCTCCCATACGATATCCCGTCCGTTCGATCTGAATTCTGATCACCTCCCGTCTGATCAGATTAGCCCTTCACTGTCATTACCCCTTCCATGTCATGCGAACTATTTTTCGATGTGCCGAATGCCGACTGTCCGCTGCCTGTTGTCAGTCGAATGTTGCGGCTGCAGTCTCTTTAACCGGCGTGAATGACCGCCCTTTACCTGTGCTCTCCTCAGATCCAGGTGCTGCTGGCGTGCCACCGTCAGTCGATGCAGGGCCGGCGGTTCGGCGGCGAGCAGCAGGCCGAGGCGCTGACCGCCTACCGCAGCGCCATGCTGCTGGAGGTGGTGCTGTCACAGTGCGTCCAGTTCATCCGCAGCTACTACCCGACCCTGGAGCCGGCCTCGGTCACCGCCGAACAGCTGCGCGCCAACAGACAGGTACGGAACGCTAACAACGAGCGGGCTAAAACACTGGAGGCAGGTACAGATAACGGGCTAATGATGCCCATTTACGGTAAACACGAAGCATCTGAGGTGTTCACAGGACAGACTGCAAATATTAAACGAGGCCAGGCAATGTCTGTGTATGAAATGAAACTATACTTTGAACTCAAACACAAAACGTGACTGATCGAAAAGATCTGTGACGTTTTTTGTTAACGGTAAAATTTGATAAGTCATTAAATGTTTCATTGATCGCCCAGTGGCGATAGACTCTTTGCAGCTGGTCTGACATTCGCTGCTCTCCCGCCAGGTCCAGATAGTGTCTGCCGAGATCCTGACGTCCATGTTCTCGGAGCTGGTGACTGTGGTTCGCTCCAGCGGCCGCGGGTTCGCAACCTACCTGGCTGACGTGCTGCAGAGATGCAGGGTAAGCAATCCGACCGACCGCGAACATTGATCGACAGCCGACGCTGTTTTATACACTGACAGCACGCGAATTCGACGTTTCGGCGAATTTCGATGGGTATGAAAAATTTCCACACGGCTCTGGTCAAAACATCGTTGAAAAGCATAGCTGTATCCGAATTCGCTATGCGACTCGCTGGGACCTAGCTCCTGGTGGTTGAATAATTAGCCACCCGGATACGCAGGAATGTTTCTGGTACCACTACCGATAGCTCTACGACATGCTACCTGTCTCAGTGCCATAATTTGGCAGTCATCTAACCTAGCGATCATTTCTTCGTATCCACAGGTGCAGAAGACGCTGCTGAACTGCCTGCTGTCCACGGTACACTCGCTGCGGGCCGGACCTCGGACTGACACTACCCTCACCGAGGACATCATCGAGTTTAACGAGGTGTGTCCGCCGGGCCCGGCCGGCGGCGGCGGAGGAGTGGCCGGCTCGGCGCACACACCCCTGCTCAGCTTCACAGAGACGCTGCAGATTCAGCTGATCAGGTGAGCGGTGGGTATTGGATACGGCCGGTACGGCGGCGGATGTGATGAATATGATGGCGGTACGGGGCTTGCCTGTGTCACCAATGACGCACCAGCAGTATCGCTGCATCAATGGATTGCTAGGAATTAAGATTTGGGGACGATTTGGACAATTTCTGGTTAAACTTGCTGCATCAAGACGCGACAGTGTTTTATTCCAATTCGTTTCCGCGATGGGCGCTGTTATCGACTTATCCTTCTTTCTCCGCGATCCGGTACTGACCAGCTTCGTTCCGCTCCGTTCAACGCACCTGGTGGAGATGTCACACGCACTGGTGCCGAAGTGACATCCCTTTCTCCGTACCCCAGGCTGGTGCTGTCGCTGCTGATTCTGGAGGACCAGACGGACCAGCTCAAGTCGGACATGGACGGCGCTCCCTCCGCCGGCGGCCGCGTCGGCACGCCCTCCGCCTCCGAGGCGGCCAAGTTCTACCCGGGACACCCGGTGCCGGCGCAGCCCATGCTGCTCAACGCCATCACTGGTGCACTCAAACAGGTCAGTTCGACGCCTGTGGAGGAAACCCGGTTCAGGTGCCGGTAAAGGGCAGTCCGGAGCGCGGGAACGGAAGGAGTGGCGCCGGTGCAGTGGTGGGGTCTTGGGCGAGACGGCAGGGGTTGTTTTCCAAATGTGCTCCTCGGGGTGAAATAATAAGCCATTTTGGAGAAGGCATAACTAACACTATCCACTTCAACATTCAATGATGTATAAGTGTTCAGTTTAATTTTGTATTACTTGCCTGTTGCGCCGTGCCTGGTTCCTTATCTATCAGTTTGGTGCTCGACTGCCGTGACTGTTGACTGAGCTGCGCCTCCCCCCCCCTCCCCCCAGAGTCACCGTCGTCACCTGCACCACCACTGGCTGTCGCTGGTGACGTCATCGCTGCCGTTCATCCGCCGGCCGCTGCCGCACATAGTGACGTCAGTGGTGACGCAGCTGGTGCACAACATAGAGCAGCTGGCCGCCATGTACCGCTCCGAGAGCAGGTCAGTGGAGGCAGGGGACCAGGTCAGGGGTCACTGTCACAACATCGAACAGCTGGCCGCCATGTACCGCTCCGAGAGCAGGTCAGAGGGGTCAGAGGGACAGGTCAGGGGTCACTGTCACAACATCGAACAGCTGGCCGCCATGTACCGCTCCGAGAGCAGGTAAGAGGGGGTCACACAGACAGCTAGTGCACAACATCGAACAGCTGGCCGCCATGTACCGCTCCGAGAGCAGGTCAGTGTGGTCAGAGGGAGAGGGACCAGGTCAGGGGTCACTGTCACAACATCGAACAGCTGGCCGCCATGTACCGCTCCGAGAGCAGGTCAGTAGGGTCAGAGGGAGAGGGTGCCGGGTCAGAGGTACAGGTCAGGGGTCACGGTCACAACATCGAACAGCTGGCCGCCATGTACCGCTCCGAGAGCAGGTCAGAGGGGTCAGAGGGACAGGGAGACATGGGACCGAGCTAGAGAGGACAGGGCGCCGGTTCACGGGGTTTGCCACAGCATCAAGCAGCTTGCGGCCATGTACCGTGGCACCGAGAGCAGGTCAGAGGACGGGGTGCGGGGTCAGAGGATTCGCTTCTTGGCACTGTTCAGAGTCCTCACGGGTATATCGATGTGCTGTCAGGCGGGCCGAGGACGCGTGCGTGCCGCCCGACCACATGGTGTACCTGAGTCCTTCAGATGACTCACGCGTGCGTCTGTATTCCGTTTTCAGGCTGGCCGAGGACGCGTGCGTGCCGCCCGACCACATGGTGTACCTGGTGGAATCGCTGACCGTCATCTGCCACTTCTGTATGATCGACTCCAGCCAGCAGGTACGAGCTGTCACCGCTCTGACGGGGGCTTTCAGCGGGAACGAACGCTCGCTGCGCCGCTGTCTGCTGGACATGCTGCTTTTACATCTAACCAAACATTGTGTCCGTCATGATAATGTTTTTAAGATGCGGGGAATAACGTTTGGCCAAGCTGAAGAAGGTTGCGATTCAATGAGCTTTGTCATGTGCTGCCGAATAACACAACCTGCATACTGTTATTGAACAGTTATAGCGCTGTCGATGGTGTTGAAGTGATTCTGTCACCATCGAACCAGAGGAAGCGTTTGCGAACTAACCAAAACGGGACATCAGATCAATTTAGTATCATCACCTCGAGCTGCTGTCTTGCATGCCGCGAGCCACCCCTGTCTTTGCACGCTCGGATCCCGCTTTGACCCAGATCCGTCCCTCCCTGGGGCTTTGCTACCGCTCGCGTCAGGGCTCTGGCGTTCAGTCGTCGTCGTCTGCGGAGCTGCTGCAGACATACGCGCCGGGCTCGTCAGCGCCACAGGTGCTCAGTAACCTGCTGCACGTCCTCACCACGGCGGCGCCGCTCAAGGTATCGCGGGGGCGGGGCGGGGACAGAGGGATAAAGCGGAAATTGCCGGAGGGAGGGAGGAAGCTAGCGTGAGGCGGGAGCTGCAAGGTTGATGACTGGATGGCATGGTTGACTGGGAGCATAATTGGGCTTGGACGTTGTTGGGACGAAACATGATTTATGTTATGCGCCAGTTAATTTTAGGGCTTGAGTAAGAAAAAGCGCAAAGGTCTGATCACAATATACTAGCTTATTTGTGTTATTTGTATGGCCAGACAGGTAATTTTTTTGGTCTCCCTGATGCTATGTGTCTGTCTGTGTCTGAGTCTGTGTGCCTGCCTGTGTTGTGTTATCCAGGACGACGGTGGCCGAGACGCGAGCACTGAGTCGCTGCTGAACGCTCGCCGCCTGCTGCTCAACAGTCTGCCGCGTATTGTGGTCGGTCTGGCCGCTCTCTGGCAGGCCATCACCGCGCGCACCGCCAGGTCAGTCGATACTCGACAATGGTAATATGGTGTGTTTTTCCGCTGGGAAAGGACGAATTCGGGATGGCGAATTGCAATAATGATGATAAAACGTTTGATGTAATGTGTGTCTTGTCGTTGTCATTGCAGTAGTCGATATGTTTCAATGTACCCAGTTGTCATTGCACTTACTTGTTTGAGTATCCAACCTGGTTTCGCCTCGTCCAACCATGATCTTCTTGTAGTTACACAATATGTTGACGGGTTCCCTTCCATCTGCGCCCCACTTTGCAGCGAGTCTCCGTCGTGGATCCTGGGCGTGCCGCGCATGGTGAAGCAGCAGGTGCTGGAGCTGCTGTCGCCCATATCGCACCACCACCCGGCCAACTTTGTGGCCGCCGTGGCCGCCGCCTGGCACGAGCGCCGCCTGCGCGGACAGCCCAAACAGGTGCGGATGGTGGCGGTGGAATCATTGGGTCCTGTGTTGCTGTTGGTATTGCGTGCATACTGACAGTGGCCGATTTAGACGGAACGCTGATTTTGTTTCACCTAGTTACTTCATTTGCCAATGGTGTATACCGCGTCAAATACAATAATTTGGCCGTAATAAATTTGGCATTATTTTATCATTTAATGTCGTAGAAACACGCTAGTTTTGTCGTGCAACTGAACTCTTCCTTCACTAGGACCATGAAATGTAGCTGCCATAAATCTGCCGGTTACGGTCCGTTTTGTTTCCGTCTTGGTGATCTCAGTTCCTTTATGATATCGCCGTTTGTCCGCATTGCAGAGCATCCCGGAGTTTTGCGCCGACCAGCTGGTGCTGGTGGATCTCGTCTCGTCTATCCGAGTCATCCCCATCGATAACCTGGTACAGACGGTCCGCTCCGTGGTGAAACAGCCGCCCAACATTGGCCTGAACGTGAGTGGGGAATGCAGATCTTCTCAGAACGCCGGGACTAGTTAGTCAATGAGCTGGATGGATCGGACGGCAGTCATTGGAAGGGTTGTTGCAGGACGCCGAGACTGTTCTATTGAGAATCATGAGAATAAACGACGAGAAAAGATCATCTCTCTCCTTATCCCTGCAGCTACTGTTTCGTTTGCGATGGATGTTGTCCAGAATGTCGCAAGCTTATCGCTAACCTTTCTGTCCCCACGCCCAGCGTTCCCAGCTGCCGTGCGCGGCGCTGCAGTTCCTGCTGTGCCACCTGCGCTCTGTGCCGGCGCCGGCGCTGGCCGAGTGCTGGTCGTCGCTGCTGGTGCTGCTGCGCGACGCTGGCCAGCTGACGCCGCCGGCCCAGTTTCTGCTGCTGGCAGTGCTCAATGAGTACGTGCAGCGCGCGCCGCCGCTGCCAGAGCGCAAGGACCAGCGGGACCTGCAGGATGTGGCTGCCAAGGTGAGGAATCGAGCCGAGGGAAAGGAAGGTAGAGACTAGAGAGTGGGATAGAGCTTTGGTTCGATTAATTTAATGGAACATCTACGTTTCGGTTTCCCAAAGTCCCTCGGGTTACCAGTTACCTAAAGCCGTGGGTTCACTGTGCGCTCCCCTCTACATTCACCAGCCATTGTGTGCAGCTCACTGACCGTCCCCGTCACCCTGTCCCTCGTGTGCAGCTGGTAGAGGCGTGCAGCGCGGTGGCCGGCGCCTGTCTGGAGCAGACCACCTGGCTCCGGAGGAACCTGGCAGTGCGCGCGGTGCCTGGCGGGTCATCCGAGCGAGACCAAACGGCCAGTCCCGAGCCGGGAAAGCCGACCAGCAACGGTCAGTGCGATTATTGGACGGGCGCCTTGGATACCAGCCTGTGATCCTCATCTTTAACTTCTTTTACAGGCAGATATTCTTTTGCCGATTCATCATCAAAATGCTCCTGTTGGGATATTCAGCTGATTCCTGATGTAATTCATTATCGAAATGCCCATGCTGGTATATTCAGCTATAAATACCTGATGTAAATGCTTGTCAAGGTTTTAGGCACGCGTGTATCAGATAATTCTTGTATATCAGTTGATCCTATCCACCACCTGACGCTAACCGTTCTCTTGACTGCAGCTTTATCTATCAGCCCCTCATAACCGTCCAACCCTCCCTCCCACTCTCTTGTTCCGTGTCGACAGGCCACAGCCCGGAGGCGGCCCAGTGGAGTGTTCAGGCGCTGCGCATCCTGGCCGAGCTGCTGGCGCCGCTGCTGGACGTGCTGTACCAGTCAGACGAGAAGGACCGAGTGCTGCCGCTGCTTACCGGTGTCATGTGCCACGTCACACCCTACCTGAAGGAGCACAGGTGAGTCGATTGCCAGTTGTCACTTGGCTTTTCGAGGGTTTCTGTAGCCACCATCATGATAATGAAATATGATCGCTTGTGACCACTGACCAGTATGATCACTGTCACTTGTACCGGTGGATATATTTTGTTTTCAGCACATATTTGCTCGCTATCGGCGCGCCCTGACATTGGCTATTTTCTGTGTCCGTCAGTCCGGCGAACACGGCCTCGTTCCTGGCGTGCTCTCAGCTGCTGGCCTCGCTCTCCGAGTACCAGTACTCGCGGCGCGCGTGGCGGCGCGAGGCGTTCGACCTGCTGCTCGAGCCGGCCTTCTTCAGCATGCAGGAGCAGTGTCTGCCTTTCTGGCGCACTACCATCGACAACCTGATGACACACGACAAGACGACCTTCAAGGAGCTGCTGGCGCGCGTGGTGGTCTCGCAGCCGGGCACGCTGAACCTGTTCTCCTCGCGGGAGGCTGAGTACGAGCTGCGCGCCCAGCTGCTCAAACGGCTGGCGTTTGTGGTGTTCTGCTCGGACGAGGACCAGTACCAGCCGCACCTGCCCGAGATCCAGGGTGAGAGACGGAGTGGGGTGGGTGGCTATGATGCCACAAAAGGGTACATTGCGACTTATTGCTGAGGTGGAAGTAGGTGGAAGTTGTGTGCTATTCTATCTCAGTATGAGACTTCTACGTATTTGACATTTCCGTTTTATTTGATTTTATTGATTGCATGCGGCGTCATTTGCTCAAATGAAGTTTTTCTTAGATCAGCCATGAACTGAATGGCATTTCTCGTACTTATTTTCACGATTTATTGTTTTTAACCTTCCTTTCCCGATAGTGTATACCGTCCGGGCCGTGACCCTTCCCTGCCTCTCCGTCCCTCAGAGAAGCTGGCCGAGTCGCTGCGGCTGCCGCAGGTGGCCCCGTCCATCCAGTCTGCCGTGCTGCTCTGTTTCCGAGTGCTGCTGCTGCGCATGTCGTCCCGGCACGTGGTATCCCTGTGGCCCTCCATCATCACCGAGCTGGTTCAGGTGCTGCTGCAGATGGAGCACCAGCTCAGCATGCAGAGCGACGAGTTCAGGTGGGTGGACAGAGGGTGACGGGTAGGGGTGGGTGGGGGAGGGGGGCACGATGGGCACGGTGGTTAGAGATGGTGAAGGTAAGGTAGTGTTTGTATGTATTTGGGTGTCTGGTGATCAAGACAACAATGTTTTGATCCAAATAAGCGCTGTTATATCACAATATTACAATGTGGAGCTGATTCATGTCCATTTCATAGAGCACATATGGCCAAATAATTAATGTTCACGTCTTATGTTTATTTTTACTACGGCAACCCGAACAGAACGGAGAGGTAGGTACTTAGGTAGCCAATCTTTGCTCTACGCTTTGCTTTCCATATCGTAACCAGCACCTAATGATTCACTCCTAATTCTCTTCTTTTGTCATCCAATTTTAGATTTCCTGTGCCTAATTGATTTGAACATCACCTGTCACGACTACGACTTTATGACCCGCACTGTAAGATGACGGCATTAAACGAGATCGCATTGTGCTATCCGGTTACACACATTACCAGATGATGCATATCATTCAGGTGCAGATCCCTTCAAGTGTAAACTTTGTTTTTGCCAGAACTTTGCATAAAATATTTCATTACTATCATGTTTTACCTTGCTTCGCTGAGTCCCAGCTGTCGTTGTACCGGCCTCCTCAGGCCCCGCTCTGACACCTCCCTATCTCACTCCCTCCCACAGTCAGCAGCTGAAGAAGCTGTCGGCGCTGGACGGCTCGTGGTCGGGCTCCAGTAACGGTCTGTCGGCCACCGGCCACCCGGGAGCCCTGCAGCTCCACCTGGAGGCCTGCAAACTGCTCGACCTGTGCCTCACGCTGCCCGCACACCGGCTGCCACAGTTCCAGATGTGAGTCACAGCCTTGTCAACTGTAACTACATAACGTTTGGTGGGGAATGAAGGATAGGGCGCCTTTCTCGTGGCATAATGCTTGTTCCCTCATTATACCTGAATTTTGTGCTCCCTTTGTCCCGTTCTCCCTTAACTGCTGCTGCTCCTCCGCTGACCTTTTGCTATGCCACCCGCACTGTGGCCTGCTGCCACGATCTCGCTCTCTGCTAACCCACTCGCCGCTGCCCCGTTGTCAGGTACCGGTGGGCGTTTGTCGGCTCCGGGGACCAGGAGTCGTCACCGGCCGCCGTCCCGGACACCTCAGCCGGCGGACAGCAGCTGCAGCCGCGCGACTTTGTGCCCCACGTCACCCGGCTGACGCAGCTGGTCCTCCAACTGGTCAGTTTAATAATATAAATAATAATAGCGTTTATTTCGCATCAAGTGGGTCGACCAGTTTAAATGTGATTTGGTGCACCGGTTTGTTTTTGTCCTTCCTCTGATCACATTTGGCTACTACCTCTCGTTGGATCAGTCTGACGACATTTCCCGTCCTTTCTGTGCGGTCTTTGTGTAATGCCACGAACGTTCCTCGCCTGTACGATTCATATGCGATGGTGGACTCCCTGTCTGACCGTCTGTCCCCGTCCATCTGCCCGGCAGTGCCGCGGCTCCCCGCCGGAGCCGCTACGCGCCGCGCCGCACCAGCCGCTGCTACACGTCACCTCGGTCCGGCAGCCGGCCGACCTCTACCCGTTCTTTGTGGCTCTGGGCGGCGGCCGGCCGCGCTCCAGCGACCCCAGGCCGGCGACACCGGCCGACCGCGGGCCGCGGCCGTCCGCCGAACAGGAGACTGTGGCCGCCGTGGAGGCTGTCCTGGCCAGAGACTTCCTGGAGCCTCTGGGAGAGCAGCGGTAGCGGCTGTGACAGGCCTGTACGGTGGGCAGCTGCCAATGGGACACCCGCCGCCCTGAGGGGTCTCCGACACACGTCTCTTGCCAGAGGGTACTGATGAGCGTGAGTTAGATTGTAGTTGAGAGTGGCATGATGAGGGGAACGATGGAGAGAATGACGTGTATGCAACGTTGTCAAGCCGCAACACTGAGTACTTCAGTCTCGAAGGGACAATCAGAAGTCTCCGTTCGGAGAACGCTATCACTGGAGAAGCGTTGGGGAACGCTGAGCCAATTCCACGCCTTATTTCATTTTCGCGTGATGTACAATAATATTTATTTTCTATTGTAGTTGTAGTTAGTTGGGTGGTTGCCGGACCACCGTCATATCCCGACATCCGCCGCGGCCGTTTGAGCTGTGCCGTAGATAGCTGGGTTTAGAATGTGTGAGATGCGCTCCTAATCCTTCCGAATATGTCCCGATGTGTGATGACTGCCCACTTGCCAGAATCAATGGCTTGTGAGGCCCAAAGGGCTTCGTTTTATCGTTGCGACATCCGGGGTCGAGTAGGTGCTGACCTCTGCCTGTCTCCGTTGGCTGCCCTGTCCCCCACCGGGTATGCTTGCGGATGCCTCGATGCTGTGTCTGCTGTGTCTGTGCCTGGGCGTTCTGGTGTGTCTGTGCCTTGGCGTCCTAGTGTGTCTGAGGGTGTGTCCTGACGGGTCCGAGTGTGACTGTGTGTCCGGTCGTCTGTATCGGTACAGCCTGAGCCGCTGGCCGCTCTAGTCAGTGGAGTGGGCGCTCCTGCCGCTCCCGTACCTGTGTCGGGTTTCGGAGCCGTCCTTCTCTGAGCTGCTGTGTGTCGCAGCCCAGTCACAGCGCCCGCAGCGGGCGGGCGGCCATTCCAGTGTGCTCGCCGAGTCCCAGTGATGCTATGCATGATCATCCGCGCTATGAGCGCCTCCAGCTTCCAGGGTGCTTATTTTCTGACCATGGGAAATGAATGGTGTAATGGGTCGTCGCCAAAGGCAACATGACATCTTATGACGAGGAATTGTACCGCGAGAAGTATTCTGTGCGACTATTTTCATGTCGGGCTCGACAGCTCTTGGCCAAACCGGGAGGCGTGCTACCTTTATCGGTAAAATCGTATTGATGCGGGATTTATGCAAAGTACGCTAGTAGAAAATATGTTCCGTTGTTGTTTAATCTCGGTTGTACTTAGTCGCCAGTCTAAATGTTTGTTATTTGTGCTAACGGGGTTTGCTGGGCTAACATACATATATCAAAGGTTTCTTGCTATTGTGATTGTGATATGGGGCTGGTTGTAGTTTGGGCACGGTTTGTCCGGCGGGCATGGTTTGTCCAGCAGATGTATCCGATTCCGGACGCGGCGGCGGGGTACGCTGCCGTGCCCTTGTTGGCCCCTGTTTGGTGTTTCATCATAGCAGCTGGTCGCTGCTGATGCTGCGTAGTTACTCTAGTCGCACCAGGCCTCCACGCTTGTTGTTGTTGCCGAGAGGTTTCCGCCACGTTACGTTTGTGTAGTTTCACGAGGCCAGGTCTCGCCCGGTAGTATCTGACGTATATCGGTGATGTTACGTATGCTGCAGTCTGTGACTGCTTCTCCACGTTCGCTGCTGCTGCGCGGGCTGTGCGCCGTCCTGAGTTGGGTCCTTATGCTGTTTGTCGCACGGCCTCTGACTGTGAACTGACGGCGGCAGGTCGGGACGGAGCGGGCCCACAGAACAAGCGGTCATTCTGGCGGTACGGGGACCGCATTCATCGTGTATATAGTGTGTATTTATGATAGAGCCTATGATCATATATCCAAAGCATGGAGTGCAAGAGGACATTCTTGTGATATTGGGGATAATATATTTTCTCATGTATGCGACAGTATGTTTTGACATGCGGATGTTACGTACTGCGCGGTGGTCGAATTCGGACGTAAGTCGGTGGTTCCAAACAGGCATTCCAACGCGTTCATGGAATGAGACTAGAAGACTATAAGTTTGAATTATCATTGCTCACGACACTTCTGTCAATAATTTCAGAGTGGCTCTGCATATTTTTAATATATTTATTGATCGGACTTGTGCGGCTAAGGCATGGCCATGCTTGATGTTATGTTGGGAGAATTGCGAAAAATTATGGTTCATCAGAGCCCCAAATGCCAATTACCGGTCTGCAATATGCAATTATCTGGCAATTAGGCTCATCGCCTGCCAGAGATAAGAATCAGTTGTAACTTGTAATGCTAAGCATTTTCGACATTGCGTGCCTTCACTGTGTCAGGCCTTGGTTGCACCACGGTTCGCGACTTTGCCGAGCTTTGGAGCTACATTGTATATCTTCATATAACTGTTGTTGTGGTTTAGGGCGCGTAGCGCCGAATATCTTGCGAGTATTTATCGCTCAATATAGTCCAGCTTTATATAGTGGTCTCATCTCTTCAGAAAATGGCTAAAAAATATGCGCATCTGTTTCATTTCTAGCGCACTCCTTATATGGCTATCGGCCGCATTATCAATGTGCGTTGGTGCCCTCAAGATTACCTTATTAATAGGTGCCCCTTGATTTTGTGCCTTGGATTTTAAGAAGGTGATGTGCATAATGTGCATATTAATGTGTCTATTCGATTTTAATCTTGTGAGGGAATCTTTATCGCTTGCAGTTGTTAGTTGTAGAACAATGAGTCCCAGTCCTGTCGGCTCGGCTTTGCTTGTTTTACCTGAACCTAACATATACTGCCTTGAATTGAAGCTAACGATTTTCCAACGGTATGTCCTATGTTACACTTTACAGGATCAAAACACCTGAAACGAATTTAAGGGAAAGGAAGTAAAAAGCCTGCCCTTAAATGGGATTTTTCCTCTTTGATTTAATCAAATCTGTCATGCTGGCCATCGCTGAGCTGTTTGGTTTGAGTCGCATTGAAGACACCAATGGAAATGGACTTAAGATATTTGTTAAAATGGTGTCTCGACAAGGTGTTGGACCAAAGACTGCCAATAATGTAGCAATCAATGTTCAGCCAGAGTGGTCAATCAAGAAAGTCAAGGAGACCATTGCGGAGAAGCTGAATGTCAATGCAGAAGATTTGAAGATTATTTTTGCAGGCCACGAGCTGAGAAATGACATTCAAGTCAAGGTAGTATATTAACATATTATTGTTGTTTTAGTTACATGGCTATTTTCTTGATTGAACATGATTGCAAGCTTTTAATGCAAAGTTGATGGCTGTATTTTTAGATTCTAAGCCTGAAAGGGTGATTGAATGGCTATAAATTGAAATACATTTGAGAAAAAACCTGGATAAGCTATAATAAATCCAAATTGTCATACCAATGAAAGACTTCATGTGATCGTGTGACATTGTGGTTTGCAGGAATGTGACCTGGGACAGCAGAGTGTCCTGCATGCTGTCCAGCTGGTTCATCGTGTTTCTGGAGGTCCAGCAGAGCGGACAGCCTCAGAGAGTGAGCCTCTCAACAAGACCATCACCAAGATTCTGGATGGTCAGGAGCCTGAGCCAGCCACAGGTGAGCACCTCTCTGGTCTGGTGGGCCAGCTTGTAGTTTCTTTTGCTAAAATGGGACATAAAAACAGCACCAACTCTAAATAAAGTCTAAACCCTCAGTGGCTTATCAGTACCAGTCCCTGAAAATGGCCTTATTCACATTTTCCTGTCTCCCTACAGACTTTCCCTAAACTGCCCCAAAGTGAGGTGTCACCATCTCTAACCATTAGTCATGGACCAGGTGCCCATAAGGCAGACATAATTCTCTCTGGCCCCTGGTTGTCCTCTCAACTCTAACCGATCCCCCTGGCTCTTATCCCTCCCATTCCCCCAGCCTCCCCGGACTGATCAGGTTAGCTATTCTTTCGTGACAAACACTCTCTGCCTCAGGTGCCGAGGGTGGCGGCGGCGGAGGCGATGCCAGCGCAGATGGCGGATCAGCCACCCAGTCCAGCTTCTACGTGTTCTGCTCGCAGCCGTGCGGCGAGCTGCGGCGCGGCAAGCTGCGCGTGCGCTGCGCCACATGCCGCCAGGGGGCGTTCACGGTGCGCCGCGACCCGTGCTCCTGGGAGGACGTATTGCGGCCGCGGCGGGTGCCGGGTGAGTGATCGACAACGCGGGGACGACGGCGCGGGGCTTTGTTCCTTGCTAAATAGTCGGGAGGGCTTATAATTATCCTCATAAATTGTAATATCCTGTATAAACTGTGAGTGTTGAGGATCCTGGACCAGTCCACAGTGGGATGCTGTTTGTGTCACCTGTATCATGCGCCTTCTCTCTATGTGCTTGACCAGGTACCTGTGACACATCCGACTGCGATGGAGAGTTCGCCGAGTTTTTCTTCAAGTGCGCGGAGCACGCCAGTCTCGGCGAGGGTGACGAGGCGGTGCCTCTGGACCTAGTACGGAACAACCTGAGGCACATACCGTGTCTGGCCTGCACCGACGTCTGGTGAGTCCACACTGAGTCCAGGTGGTCTGCATCGCTGGACCCACAGATGCTGTGTGCTTTGGCAAGGAGTTGATGTAAGATGTCGATTGAAGTCATGGGGTTGGCGAGGTTCCGTTGTTGCTTGATGGATTTGCTGCTGATTTTACGGCTCACTAGTCACTACTGACCTCTTTGCTTTTGTGGAGAAGCGAGGGGTTTGCTCTTATGCTTTTTCGTCGATACATGATATCCTTGGCATGGAATCCAATCGATCTTGCTGATAAAATGAAAGCTCCAATGAAGGGTAGCTCCCGTACTAAATATCCGGTTGTCACTGCCGGTTTGACTTTGGAGACTGTCTCCATCCGACGCTCCGGTAATTCTGACTGTTCCACTGGCCCGCCAGTGACCGGGTGGTGGCGTACCCGTGCGCGGCCGAGTGTACTCTTCTGCAGTGCTGTCCCTCCGGTAATTCTGACTGTTCCACTGGTCCGTCAGTGACCGGGTGGTGGCGTACCCGTGCGCGGCCGGCCACGTCACCTGTCTGGAGTGTTTCGTCACCTACTGTCGCAGCCGGCTGGACGAGCGCCAGCTGCTCAACGACCCCGAGGTGGGCTTCACGCTGGGCTGTCCGGCCGGGTGTCCGCAGTCGGTCATCAGAGAGGTGCACCACTTCCGGCTGATGGGAGACGAACAGGTGGGTGGTGGACGAGGAGAAGTGGATGCTCGCGAGAGGGACGTAGGTGGATCGGCGCCCGAGGATGGACGGAGGTGGGGGTTTTCGTTTGGTTGGGCATAGAATATGTTGTGGAAGATTGTTTTGCTCTTAGGGAGATCGGTTAGGTTTGACCGGTCTGATATTCTTGTTGTGCAAGCAATTCATATTGCGTTGCAAGAAGGGCATCACTGACCTAAAATTCCCTCGGAAAATTGTGAAGTCAACGCTGGAACATATGGCTGCACCAATAACACGATCTACTGTCCTCCCTACCGGTAACTTAACAGTTATTATGGCACCACCACGTCCGTTCCCTTTGACAGTTATAGGTTACCAGTGACTACTGACTATACTCTGAGCTCCCCCCCCCCCCCACCCTCCTCTGTCTGGCAGTATGAGGGTTACCAGTGGCTATTTTCTAACCTCCCCTCCCTTCTCACAGTATGAGCGTTACCAGCGCTTCGCCGCCGAGGAGTGTGTGCTGGCGGCGGGAGGTGTGCTCTGTCCCCGACCCGGCTGCGGGATGGGCCTCATCCCCGACCCCGAGTGTCGCCGTGTCCAGTGCCAGCAGGGCTGTGAGGTAGGCAGCACTCAAGCGCACGGACGGATGGTCGGACGTAGAGGTACATTGAAGTTCAAGTGTGGACGGTAGGTATTGATACTTGTTATGTATAAGTTCGTTGCTCGATAATTCAGTGCTCGTGCTAGGTACCTATCTTTCTATTGTCTATGAAAGATTGAAGTCTGAATGATGCTTTGGTAATCAATTCACCGATTCACCGATTCAATCTCGCATTCACTAAATGGTGTGTCTTGCGGTCTGCATGTAATATGAAGTTCACTACCATTATCCGTCTTTTTTTCAGTACGTGTTCTGCCGGGATTGTCTTCAGGGATACCACCTGGGCGAGTGTGACCCGGGAGGCGGTGTCGGCGCCCCGACTGCAGGTCAGTTCATGACCCTCTATATGAGATTCTTTCAAAGTCACCCAGAAACCTTCGATCATGACTCGATGTATTCTGGTCATGGCTTGTCTCCAACGGTTGGCAGAGACAGTTAGCTGCTGTGTCAAAGTCTTGTGATGCCCTGTACCGTCAACAGTGACGAAGGGTAAGGGCGGGTAAGAAGACGCGGGCGATAAGAGTACGCATCAGCTGTTTCGGCTGCTTAGCAACGCGGGTTTGTGAAGTTCATGAAGTGACATGAAGCCGCCAATGCGTGTTTGTCACCAACGGAACGTGGGCGTTGCAGGGCATATTTTAACAATTTTTTACTGCGTCCCAAAGTTGAGCAGAGGGCACGTGTTACGACTAAGGGCACAGGGCAAGGAACAGGGTAAGGCACTGAGCTGAGGAGGGCAGAGAGCAGGACACGGCATGGTACAGGGCATGGCACAGGACATTTTAGAGGGAAGGGTACATGGCAGAGAGCAGAGAGTAGGGCACAGGGTAGGGGACAGGGCAGGACAGAGAGCGGGGCACAGGTTAGGGCAGAGAGCAGGGCACAGGTCAGGGAACCGGACAGGGCACAGGGCAGGGACGCAGTCGGTCAAATCAGCAGGGGCTACGACCCAAGGCGAGGGGGCTGTGTCCCAAAATGGGACGCAGTAAGTGCCTTAAAATATGTCCTGGGGCGTTGTGTGGCGACGCTGTTGAGTTTAAGGCGATGAATATTATTTTCGAGCGTTATGATATTATTTTGATATGGTACAATAATTTTGATACTTTGCAGTTGAGATAAGGTACATTTTCGTGATTGTTGTGGGAAACTTGTGAGGCATTCTGGGGAAACACTGTGCAGTGTAATATTCTGTTTGTGAAGTTTTGCACAATGTTTCGGGGTTGTTTTGTGCGCGAATCGCATGTAGGGTAAGAGGACACACTGTTCATGAGGGTAAGAGTACGCAGAATTATACATTATATCGAATATACAGAAATATGAAATTATTTATATATTGCTCAATGACGTTTGTTTTGTAGGTATATCATCAATGGAGCACTGTGTGGCAGATGCGTACCCGAAATTCCTCTAAATACGAGTTATTCTCCCTTTTGATTGTACATTTTTAGAACCACATGACAAGATTATTTCTTGATTTATAGATTTGCATGATTTATTTTGTTTTTCTTTTGGATACTAGAATTAAATTAAATGTCTTCTGAGTTTGATGTTAAGCATTTGGTCAGTACAAGCTGCATAGGTGTGTGTGTTCATATGCTTGCGTACTCCGCCCGCCTGGTGTGCGTACTCTTACACACCCCGTGTGGTAAGAGTACGCAACAGCAGCGGTTCAGAAAACGTCAGTTTTAGACCACTTCCATTTACGCTGAAGGATCGTTGCCTCAGGGGTTGATGGCTAATTCAATGACCTTTGATATTCCATATTTGCGATTTCTTTCTTTCAAATATCAAACAAATGAGAGCAAGAAATCCACTAAGTGCTTACTCTTATACGACTTCACCCTATGTCGTTTCTGGATTGTCATGTAGAGACTTAATGCAAGTTGCAACAATCCACCTAAAACGGCATTGATCACTTTCAAAGCTGCTGCTCACGAATTTAAGCACCGTTCTTCGTTCGACGTCTCAGCGTTTCCATACCAGCGTAGTTTCTCACAGTTCCTTGCCGACGCTGCGCCGCTAAGTTTCTGCGCCTCTGATGTTCTTCTGACGCCGCTGACGTTCGTCCCGTGTCCGCCAGGTGGCGGTCGTGCGTTCGGTGTGGACGAGGTGGCACAGGCGCGCTGGGAGGAGGCCACGCGTTCCACCATCCAGGTCATCACTAAGCCGTGCCCCAAGTGCCGCACACCCACAGAACGAGACGGTAAGCAACTGTGGACTGTGGAGGAGGGGAGGCCGGGGACGGGTCAGAACGTTTTTATTCTGGTATTTTAAATGTTAATTGAGAGGTTGCGTTATTATTTTTAGCTATTTTTTCTTCGTTGATTAAAGAAGTAAGTGTTTTCTGTAGACACTGCATCTGCGTTACGTCGAAACATGCATGCAATGGAAAGTAACACAACTGATGACCCTTCAAATAATGTCGCATTGAACTCATGCGTCCCGCCGTTATAGCTCACAGCACCACCCAGCGCCAACTACCACCGGTAGCAGGCAGGTGATCGCACAACACGTGTGCCCGAACACGGACATTAGTTAGTCGCACAGGTATCAGAGCTGAATACAAACAAATGGCCGAACTGTCCCAGGGCGGCAGGATAACGAAAACGTAAGTGCTAATCACACGCGGGGATCGCATAGTTCATTCGAGAGACACTCGATTCGGTAATCGCAATCGAGTGTTGCACTTGCAGGGATATTTTTGGATCGGATGAATCGCGCAGTTTTATGTAAATAAAACGTGTTTTCGTATTTTGAAGCTAAAGAGGCACTATAGTAATTCTGTAAGATAACCTTCGTTGTGTGGTGGCTGAATGGGAAGTATTTGACTCGCATTTCGGCGTCGGTGGAACGTCACAAATATGTATTGGTAAGGCACCACCTTCACCCACATGACGTGGATGGATAGTGGACACACTACGGCCCGTTTTTCCGACCTTCGGCTGTCACTCGTCGCAAGCTCCATTTGTCACTATTGTTCCACCGTCCGCGCTCTTTGTGCCGTTTTGCCGAGTGTTGACTCCTCTTAGCCTCTTGTTTTGACAGCCATTGTGCTCAACTTAATCAATATTTCCGCTAACTGGCATTGATTAAGAGGAAATCCTAAAGCTTTGACAATATAAAGCACTAGGTCGAATGGTGCTAGCCAGAAGTTCTACTGAAAACCCTTGTTATAAATGGTTCTCGAATCTCTAAGACTACGCCGTCCGCCACCACTCGCCGCCGACCGTTTACCACTCAGTCTGGGCGGTCCATGCGGCCCTGCCACTGAAAGCCCGCTGACGAGCGCTATCGATTCGAGCCGGCGCCATACTCTGTAACGGCGATGCTTATGGGTGCTTACCCGTGACCCCGTCCCGGCGCGCGCTGTGAACCGCTCACGGGGTATTACAACCGCCGTGCTTGGCCACGGTGGGACGGGCGCGAGCAGGGTGGTGGTCGCGAGGACCGCATCGGTCCGATGTTGACATTCTGCTGTTGGGTTTGACTTATTATAGCCCGAGATTAGGCAAGAGGTTTATGACTTCGTTGTTCGACGTTAATTGCTCGCTGTTTTTGCTATCGTTGCGACAAACTGGTTTGTATGTCGAGCTACACGGTAAAGGCCGAACGCCGGCCGTGGTGTGTTGTACCGGCGGAGTTGTGCCTCAATGACTGTCAGCGGGGTCCACTGGTAACCGCCGGTCTCCTCCTGTGTGAACTATTGGTAACCCGTCACCTACCACAAGGGATTCGGTAATGGCAACAAACGGACGCTCTCGCCCACCGGGAATAAGATAGACGGAATTAATTAAAGGAAAAGTTTGTTATTCAGCTGGTCACTAGCGAAGTTTTCCAGTTGCCGGTGTGTTAATTTACCGTTATGATGTATCGGCCGGTGGCCTTTGCTTACATCGATCCGTCTCCTGGCCCCGGACTTGTGACCACCCGATGAATGAGTTTGGTTTGGTGTAGACTCGGTGACTGTTTGGCACCGGATGGAAACCCATTACAGCAGCTCTGCAACTAGCAGTGCGCTGACCGCTGATGACCCTTTTAATGCCTTAAACTGAAGGGAGATGGTCACCCGTTGACGCTCGATGGCGGTTAAAACTAGCTGATTGACTCTTTGACATTATTGACAGTAGTCATCGTAGTATCCCGAACCTAAGTCGACATTTTCGGTGGTCGCTGGTTAATCTCATTGGAATACTAACAACACACGGAGGCTTCTAATTTTCGGCTGCTGACCGGCGACAGATGATGATGTGTCCCGGATGGGTCAGATGTGACCAGCTGACCCTTGTGTCCCCTCCGTTCCAGGCGGCTGTGTGAGGTGTGACTGACCGTTGTGTTCCTGTTACAGGCGGCTGTATGCACATGCTCTGTCCGCGGACACAGTGCGATTGTTGGGTGCGACTGAGTAGTGCGCCAACCTGTGTGTTCCTTTCATTACAGGCGGCTGTATGCACATGATCTGTCCGCGGACACAGTGCGGCTATGTGAGGTGTGACTGACCGTTGTGTCCCTGTTGCAGGCGGCTGTATGCACATGATCTGCCCGCGGACGCAGTGCGGCTTCCACTGGTGCTGGATGTGTCAGACAGAGTGGACCCGGGAGTGTATGGGCAGCCACTGGTTCGGATAGCCAGGTACGCACATACGCTAGAACTTCGCTGCCTGGCTTCTGTTCGGTCCTAATGTTACTGTTTTGTTTTTCATTGAACCGATGTTTCCACGAGTTCGGAAATGTACACACATAATTTGAACTGGATATATATAAAGTTAGTCTTACGCTCCCTCGCCGTTCCCCTACGCCTCCTCTCCCCTCGGTCAGCGTTTGGGGTGACCAGGCGCTGCCATTGCTGCCATCGCTCCATTGCCAAGTCGGTCGGAGGTTGCTGCTCACTGGTCACTCCGTCAGTGACCTTCGGTCGTTCCGCCGTCGTTCGGTGGTTCAGTCGTCTCTGACCGTTGGGTAGCGGCGGTCGGTCCGGTCCGCCGCCGCGCCGGTCAGCTCTGACCGTTCTCTGACCGTTTTGTGACCGTTGGGTCCGCTGTGGACACCGGGAGCGGGGAATAGTGCCTGCCGGGGAGGTGTGAGTTGTGTGTGTGTGTGTGTGTGTGTGTAATGGCGACCGGAGGTTGAGTACGAGTTGTTGTGTTGTCTCCATGAGGACAAACGGGCCTGCCTCGCTCGCGTGAGCACCGAATGAGGTGAGCGTTAGTGAAAGGGCCTGGTCGATGCAGGCTAAAAGCGTTAAGAAAAATGGACGCACAGTAGATAGTTTATGTTTCTGAATTTCAGGCAGAATGCACAGTTATACAACGTTCAAAAGAAATTGAACGTACAGGTCTCGCCGGTTTTAGTGGTAGGTTTTGCACCTAGAAAAATTAGTGTACTTCAGGCTATATTTTCGTCGTTTTAAGTGTTGAAGATGCGATCAACTTGTTGGGCAACAAGCCGGCCATGATCGTGTAAAATGACTTCATCGTAGATCGATTAGTTTCTGAGATATAACTGGAAATGTAAAAGTGCAAAACCTACCGCTTAATCTCGCGAGAGTGGTACCAAACTTCCGAGAGTAACCTGGCCTGGCTGGATCGCCTAACTGATGAGATGCAATTTTCACAACAAAATGAAAGTATTTCATTAGCCTAATATTGACATTAAAATATATTGCTTCGTTTATCCATAAATATCCATTCCACAACAATTGCAGTTAACCATGCGCAATTAATGCGCTTTGCAGGTTCACAAACTCAGTTGGACAGCGCCGACGGATGCTTCTATAGCCGAATTGCCGAAGCATTTACCACGCGTTCGCCATGTGGTAGTGTCTCCTCTTCTCGGGTTTCCGTTTACCGCGAGTCTTTACGCCACTCTGGCTAATTAAATGTCAATGTCCGGCGTCTTCTCTTGTCTGTTGGTTTTGGCCTGTGTACTTGTCGTTATGGCAACCATTGTGCTCAGTTTTGCAGGTGACACACTTCGTATCACCCGGCTAAAGAGGTAGCCAATTTATTCCCGTCATGTGAACATCGTCAGTTGTTTGTCCTAATTACAATCAATAGTAAGTGACACCCGTCGGTGCGAGGTGTATTGTGATGGTGATATTGAAACAGCTTGACCAATAGCCATACGGATCCCTAGATCTAACCAATCCGGCTGGGTGTGTGGGTAACCGGATGCCTCGGAATTTCGGAACAAGGGAAGTCCGAACCTATGGTAGGACAGCAGACGTGGGTAGGACGCGGTGTGCCAGGCTGACACCACGAGGCTACCCAGCGTGCAGTAGGTTCAGCAGGTTCAGTATTGCAGCAGATATCGGCCGCTTCCTCCTATAACTGTCGCGGTGCCAGTTACCGTGGTCGGCCCTGGTCCCGCTGCCCACTTTGTGCCCCTCTCTGACTGGTCCCGTTTTTACTTGCGGCACGCTCCGTCCGTTCTCCTGATTCTCTCCCAGCGTCCATTTGTTTCGTCTCGCAACACCGTCTGGCTCACAACACTCTTTGAGGCCATTTCGGCGACCTATATTGATAGCTCTCTTGGTTTTGCGCGGCCGCCCGTTCTGACCCTTTCTCGTTATTTCAGGCGCGCCATGCCGGCTCTACGCGGTGTGTGTCAGCGTGTGAATGTGCTCATCATTTCCATCATTATCATACCGACTTCAGAGGCGGCGCCAAACTCCGTCACAATTGGTAAGCAGTCGCTGACTTCCGTGACTTTCACACTAACTAGTGAGGGTGGAGGGTTCGGCTTTCGGCTTAATTAGAGGGTTCGGCTTAATTAGTGAAGTTCGGCTTTCGAACTTGATGCGTTTTTTACTTTTGTATCTTCATTCAGTTTTGCTTTGCAATCGGACTGCGGACGCAGAGAAAGCTAGCGAACATATCCATATTTCTCTACATTTTATACACAGGCAAGGTTGATAAGCTCATGCAAGTGCCTAGGTACATCTGGAGTTCGCACATGCATTAGCTTCAGAAGCGGGATAGTTTGTATTATTGGTCGGCCAGTTGCAATAGGGGACTTTGATTTTACTCGATGCGTTTATCGCCCGCGTTGCTGTGGCATCCAGCCTTGTTTCGTTTGCACTCATCCACTGTAGAGCGAAAGTACCCGATCGTTGACACAGGCACATTGTGTCGCCATATCAGTGCAGCTCATGTCCTGGGTTCCATTTTACTGATGACATACCAGTTTACTGGTGGCTCATCATCCTATAAACCCACTCAGGGACAATCGGGTGTAAGCGGTGTGTTGCCCGCGGCCTCATTGAACTCTGCTGTGCTCTCTGGGACTAACGACTCTGCAGTCTGCGCCGGGCCAGTCACCCAGCATCACATAACTCGTCAACAAATGTTAGCACATGGGAAGATCATTAGTTTTATTATTGAATGTCTGGTGGCCGTTTTTAAGTGATAGTTTCTGGCAGATGAATCGCAAATCTTAAATTTTACAAATGATGTGGATCACCAAATAGAATGATTTTCATAGATCTGATAGGCTTTTCGATAGTAATCTGAAGTGCTTTTTTAAGACCATTGAACGAACATGCCTTTGAAGACTTTTTTCAGACTTTTTCAGATGTGCATTGAAAAAAGTTTTCCCAAAATTATCTCGTTGGTTATTTGACTTACAAGACTGCGATTTTGTTTTGTCATTTTAGGCCGATAGCGATATGGTCGGAACTCGAAATGCCTTAACACGCGCAGTGGAAGGGTTGCGAGTACTACGCCCAGTGGAGGGGGGGGGGGGCGGATGTCGCCCCCCCCCTAAGATCTCAGCTCCCACTGGAGCTAGAAAGACGAAATTTGGAGGGTAGGTGGGGGCCATGGGGAACTCTGTTGTGTGTGAATTTCATGACCCTAGGTCAATATCTTCAAGGTCAAATGAGGTCAAATGTGGTCAAATTTGCCATATTAGCGACTTTTTGCGTTTACACGCCGATAACTCAAAAAGTTACCGGCCGATTTTTTAAAATCTTTCACTATACGAAAGAGCAAACATTTGTGAGTATGTATGGTGAATTTCTAGATAATCCAACAATAAATATGGCAGTTAGAAGCCTGCGAAGGGTAAGATGTCGCCGGCTGAAGCGGCATCGGCCGACGCGGGAAACGCGGCAATCACAATTTTGTGTTTACACACTCATAACTCAAGTTGTTACCGGCCGATTTTCAAAATTCTTTGACCATATGATTGCCTGTACATTTCTCAGTCTTCTCACCGAATTTGACGCGAATCTAATATAATCAGCGGTAAGGAGCGCGATGTAAAGACGGAACCGTCCCGCCCCGGCACAGTCTACAATTCAGGCGGCGCGTAACGGCTAGCGCCGGCCGCCGCGCCGCCGCGCCGCCGCGGCGGCAGGATGTTTGACTTTACACCGCTATTACTAGAAAAGTTGTGAACCGATTTTCTTACTTCTTGCACGAGAAGATCCGCAGTTCAATTCTGGACAGGTAGCCGAAATTTCACATTGATATTATGCTTGCGGCGCGAGTTATTGGCGAAAAACAGGAGGGGTGGGCGAAATCCGCCCCCCCCCCCTTCCACTGCGACTTACGAACTTCTTTACTTGAAAGTTTTTACAATAAGCCTAAAAACTCCTACAACGATTAATTGTCAGAATCCTCGTTGTCGCCGTATTTTCTCGTCGTTGATTTTTTTTTTTACAAAATAAGGCTGTCACATAGGTATTGTGTTTGTTTTGGAAGCCAGTTACTACCCAGAGTTGCTGTTTGTGGCACGCTTTCACTTAGCCCTGACACTTTGAAAGTGGGTACGGTTTGCACAGTGTCCGTGGTCCGCGGAGTGTCCGTGGAGGGTATGTTCCAATTTGCCGTCCGTAGTTTGTATCTCATATCGACCTAGCTGCCACCTCCGGGGCTTTGTACGACAAGCTTTATCATCCTATCCAGGCTATATCGGGCTTACACACACCCGGGCCTGAATCGGCAGCGGCACTCTGACATGGCATCCAGGGCTGACACGACGAACAGCGTGGAACCCCCGCGTGGCACGCATATCGTTACGGTGGGGAGGGGTACCCGAGGTGCTGATACGCCCCCTAGTCACACCATGCTATTGTTGGCGGCTGAATGACCGTTGGACATTACCGCGCTATTGAGGCGCGTGACGTCACTGAGGGCTTGTGAGGTACACGGCGTCTTTGTGGACTGATGGACCGCGGTTGTCGCGCCGGAGTATGCATTTTATAAATATTTGGCTGTATTGCCCTAAGATGCGAAAGTATTTTGTCCAAGATGCGATGCCATAACAACAGGCCTAAATGAACGAGATCGAGCGTGCCAAAATGAAAATCACGCAAAAGAGCGATATTGCATCCTATGTAGTTACATTACAGGGTGTCCGGAAATTATTTGCCCCCTGTTCATTCAGCTAAATCCCACCATGCGCTTTAAGAACTGTTGAAAATTTGCTAAGAACGTGCCACAGGTTATCCACAGATGTCGGTTAGCCAGATGACCTAACCCGGTCACCTGACCTTGACAATTGCGAGGCGCCAGGGCCAGTGTTTGGCAGGCGTAACTAGCACCTGAACGTGGTGTCTACTTTGACAAAAGAAACTCTTTGACAAAGCGTCATCGCGCCTGAAGTTATGTTGAAGACTGGAATGA